AACCTGTCTGGCCCATGTGCTTTCCATGGTTTCATTTTTTGGACCACTTTCTGCCATAGTTCACGGTTCATCTGATCTTCCAGGTCAGTTTCCCCGCGAATTTTTGACAGCAAGTGCTCCCAGGCTACTAGCTCTGGACTCTTCGAGTTAAACGACTTTTTCACTCCTACTATAGTTTTCCAAAACTTCCTGATCTGGTGTACATCAGTTGGTTCTGTATTATCACTCACGCCTCGGAGTAGCACTTTCACTGGCATCTGCCTTGCCAGTACCCTCACTTCATCCTTCTTCCTTAGTGCTATTCTCGATTGTAGAAGCTGGAGCCTGCACTTCAGTTTTTCTACAAGAGATACTATCTCAGCGTGGGATTCCACCTTATACTTCTTCTTAAGCATTCTGATGTTACTCAGCTGCTTAAGAGTAGGAGTTACTTCCGCACTTTTGGCTCGCCTATTTAACTCACTAGTAGCCTTACCTATGACGCGGCGCAAGTTCTCACATTCTATACTCGTGTTCTTAAACCATTCCCTCGACCGTTCTTACTTTTCTCGACTCTTTCCGTTTCCTATCTTGGATACTGTTGCCGCACCAGCAAAAACTAGATTTGACAATGTATTCCAAGATACTCGACGGACTTCCTTTTCCAACTCCCTTTTGATCAGTCGATCTACTATGCAGATAATAGGTTTTATATGTCTGCCGGAGACTCTATTGGGCGGTTTTCTCAACGTCATCCGGCAGCCTATTTTCTGTGCCTTTTTATATTCCATCCTGAAGGTTGCCTCTACAACGTCTTCAGCCGGATCAGCCGGTTCGCACTGACCCGGTTTTCCTTCGACTGTAGGATTTACATCAATACTGTTACTACCGGCGTCAATGACATCAACAGTAGTGTCAGATGGTACAGTACTGACTTTCGAACGCAACTCAGTCTTCCTTCCCGTAGAAGACGGATCTGTGATCACTGTGGCAGGTTTGTTCTTAATACTCTGCCACTTGCTGCTAAGGCTTGCCTTAGTCCTTGGTGGCAGATTCAGATTTAACCAAGCTCTCACGACGTCGTCCCAAGATATCGTACCTGAGGGTTTGACATTGCTTGGGACTAATCGCCTTAGCTCGTTTTCCTCCTTTTCTGACCACACTCCTGCCTTCCCCCGCTCAACGGGGTTCCCACCATACGGCCCGTTCCTCCTAGGCGGAGTGTTATGTTTGGACCGACGTATGGGTAAGGGAACCGCATGAATGCCAGCTGTAGGACCTATAACTTGGCTAGAGTCCTCGGCCGCCGCAACTGGTACAGCTGCACGACGAGTTCTAGCTGCTATTGGTTGCCGGGCTGCGGCTTCACTATCGCATCGCACAGACATTCGGGACGAGGTTGCGGACATCTCGTCACCGAGTTTCACTGATTATGGTGATACCAGTCTCTAGGTTGTGTCGTCTAGAGACTCATGCGCGTCACCCTTCATGACACTTCCGAGTCACCTCAGCAGCGATTTGGACTTCCACTCTATCCATCATGAGATTTCAGAGTGGCACTGTCCGCTGCTAACGTCCAGCTACAATGTACCCTGCTAGTAATAGGTACAAGGATCCTCAATGACAATGATGTTACCCTTTTTTTTCTTTTTTTTAACTGTCATTGTTTATTTCATCTCAATGTGTGCTAGCACAATGGATCATTGAGCAGCTTCCTACCTATCCCTGTGAAGCTAAGTGATTTTTAATGATCCTACTTGTTCCTAAGACAGCACTGCGTTGCATTCTTTCTATACAATACTCGGTTTGCTCCCTGGTGAGTCCGAGCATCGTCATCATGCTAGGTTTTAATTCCGAAAGCACCTCGCCGGTTGCCCCAATGATTATCGGTAGAAATGATACCTTCCATCCTGCAGTTTGCATCTCACGTTGAAGATTGTCTCCCCAAGGATAAGGCAGTGCCAAATCGTCCTCCCAATTACCATTGACACAATAGCGATTTTCTTTTATAGCCTTTTGTCGCGATATACCCGTAAACCATGATACTGCGATTTCTATGATTAGAGCCGTTCTCTTAATCTTATCAAAGACTATAATATCTGGCTTGTTATGGCGAATGATCGCTTTCGTCTGGACTGGTTCATTCCAATACAGCTTCGTACTATCATTCTCTAGAACCGGATCCACTTTCTGCGTGTAGTGACCATTGGGTAAACCATGTAGTTGACATAACTTATAATGTACGTTTCTCGGTACTGAATCATCCCGATCGATATATAAATTTGACAGCCACTTCGTACAACTGGAGATCACATGTTCAATTGTTTCAGTGGTCTTTTTACATGCTCGACAGCTCTTATCACCGTTGTTATTTTTGAATGCTGGGTGCACTATGGTCAAGAGACACCCTTCCTGCGCTGCTAGTACATTTCTGACTGCAATAGCTGATAACTTACCTTCCTTGAACCACAGGAAGGAATCCGTCAAATCTATGCCGCTAGTCGAGCGTAGAACACGCCCCGCACGTGTCAGTTCTTGCCAACATTCGTACCGCCTGTTGATATTAGCAGTACGCATTAACGAAACCACTTGTCGTGCCAGTGATTTGGCATCAGTATATTCAACTTCATCCAAGATGACAGTTGAATGAGTTTTGTCTACCACTACTTTGATCTTATAGGACTTTAATATACCCAATGCATCACTAACTAAGCATCGTTTCCCCCGGCTAACCATAGTGACAAACAGATTTAATGAGCTTCTTAAAGCAGCTTTCGTACATAAATACGCCCAGGAGTATATGGTTGACTCCTCGAAGGAATCTCTGACGGATCTTAAACCATATCCTCCTTTGTCTACTGGTAGATATATTCTACCAGCACAACAAGACTTGTATCGTGCTTCGTGTTTCGTAAGGATCTTCCGAAACTTAACATCGATACGCGTACCTCGTTTTAAGACACTTGAATATTTACCGCTTCCTTTTGCTACGCAGCTCATTACGTAGGTTAACGCGGGTAGGACAGCGGAGTTGAAGGAATTCACTTTCTGTCGAAAATTAAGATCGAAATTCCACAACTGATGGGCCTTTTTGTAGCAAAGTTCCTCAACACGATCCCATGCTTCGGATTCTTTTATTCCAATTTTCTGCTCCATTCCTAGATACTTATAAAGCTCCGCACCCTCCAGCAGCGGGAAACCTAAGTTTCTATCCTTTGTAGAGTGTGTGCCCACAAGTACCTCATGCTGCAACTTTTTCGGAATAAAATGTGCTACGGCGCATTTCTTAGCATTCAATTGCATGTTCATGTCACGTGAAATCGATGCTACAGCCTCTTTCTGCTTATCAAGACTCTGCTTTGAATTAGCATATAGTTTAAGGTCATCCATATAGAAAATATGAGACAGCGATGTTTGCATGATTTTCTTTCCTTTGGGCTTCCTAGTGGCCATTACATAACCTCCACCAGTTTTGTTGATTGCATAACTGATAGGGGCTATTGCAAGACAGAACAACAAGGGACTGAAGCTATCTCCTTGTAAGACTCCGGATTTAATCTTTAGGTAGCTACTACGTTCTATCTTTCCACTGGGGCCTTTAACTTCATACCGCACCCTCCACATATTCATTATATTTATTACAAGCTTTCTTATCAGGTTTGGAACTTGCATTACTACGAGCAACCATTTGATATAGCTATGTGGGACACTATCAAATGCTTTCGTGTAATCGATCCAGGCGACGCTGATGGGACGCTTTCTTTGGTATTGTGCATCCGCTATCATTATCTGGTCGAGTATGTGGGCATGCTGGCACCCCCACACATCTTTTTGTAATGCTATTTGCTCGCTGGGCATTATCTGTCGCTCCTTCACGTACTGATCTAAGTACGCAGCTATAAAACCCGTAAGTAGTTTGTAGCAGGTGTTACGACATGCAATAGGTCTGTAGTTAGCGGGTACAGACATAGGTCCAGATTTGTATAAGAGTACGATACGACCTTCGGTGATGCACTTTTGCGGTAAAGCTTCCCCAGATGTAATGTGATGAAGAATTAACTGATATAAAACTGCATTGGCTGAGCTGAACACTTTCCACCAGAAGCTCTGCAGCCCATCTGGGACATGTGCTTTCCATGGTTTTGCTTTCTTGACAACTTTCTGCCATAAATCTAGGTTGAGACGTCCGAGGAGGTCATCTTCCTGTTGGATTCCTGACACAGATTGTTCCCATTCTACTAGCTCTTTGCTTTTAGAGTTAAATCCTTTTTTCACCCCAACTATCTTTTTCCAAAAATTCCTGATCTGGTTCACATCAGTCATTTCTGTTTCCTTTTCCTTTTCCTTTTCCTTTTCCTTTTCCTTTCCAATGCTTCGCAATACCATATTGGTAGGCATATTCCGGATGCGAATGCGTCCTTCATCTGTCTTCCTTAATGTTATCCGCGATTGTAGTAGCTGAAGCCTGCCCTTCAGTTTTTCTACAAGAGATTGTATGTCAGCAAAGGACTCTACATTATACTTTTTCTTAAGCATCCTGATGTTACCTGCTTGTTTTATAGTTGGTGCTACTTCCGCATCTCCTCTCCTCCGATTTAACTCGCTAGTAGCTTTACCGATGGTCTTACGCAAACTCTCACACTCTCTATATGAACTCTTAAACCATTCCTTAGCCTTTTCCTCTTTTTCTTTAAACCGTTGATTCCCTATCTCAGAAACAGTCGTTGCTCCAGCATAGACTAGATTTGACAACTGATTCCAAGTTATGGTATCAACTTTCTTTCTTTTCCCTTTCCTGATTCTTTCTAATTCATCGCTTATGAGACTATTCACTTGGCAGATAATAGGCTTAATATGATTGCCAGAGACTCTTCTGGGCGGTTTTCTCAACGTCATCTGACAACCAATTAATTGTGCCTTTTTAAGTTTTTTACTGAAGACTGCCTTGATGACATCTTCAGCACAATCAACCGGTTTGCATTGATTGTTTGCAACTGTCTGGTTTACATCGAAAACGTCACTACTGTTGGTAATCCGTTCTTCAGTAGTACTTTCCTTTATTTCGCCTTGGACTAATTCCTCAGAATTAGACTCAGTTCTATCTCGAGATCCATTCTGATCTTCGCAAATCACTATTGTGACGGACCTGATCTTGATATCACGCCACTTGTTGCTCAGGCTCGCTTTACTCCTTTCCTTCAGATTCAGATTTTGCCATTCCGCATCAACTTTCTCCCAAGAAACTATTCCTTTTGGGTTAGTATTGCTACTAACCAGTCGCCGCAAAATGTTAATCTCTTCGTCTGTCCACAAGGCTGCTCTCCCCCGACTAGCGGAGGCGCCACCATCCAACCCGAGTACCTGATTTGGGCTTTGTCTGGATTGACGGATGGGCAAAGGTACCGCATGAATACCAACTATTTGATGTTCACCAATGACGGAACTAGTCAAGCCGGCCGATATAGTTGAAAAAACTGCACGAGCTCGACTAGCCACCCTTGTTTGCCGGGCTACGGCTTCGTTGCTATTAGACATAGTAGACAAGGGTATGTACGACGCTGCGCACTTCCCGTTGCCGAGTATTTGTTTGTTTGATAGCGGTCTCTAGGTAATACTGCCTAGAGACTCATGTGCGTCACTAATCAGATGACGAGGCATTTGGCTATTTTCTTTTTATTTCTAAAAACTTTCTTGCATTTACATGGTCAGCAAGTAAGACCGTTGACGCCCCGCCGTAACCGTGATCACACGTAAAACAACCGTGTTGACAACCACTATTCCTTTCTATCTGATTACCACGTGTTCATGTACTTTTTGCCAGCACATATTATTATATGTGAACTCGATTACCATTGTTGAATAAGGAAATCGTCCTCAAAGGATCCCCTATGACTCCCACTGCAAGCATATCAAATTCCAGACTATGATATAAACAATGAGAGCCACAAGAATTGGATTGATTCGATGTTATAGCACTACCCCCTACTACTTCAATGCTCTCGTGCAAATCACCATCGGTGTTGACNCTACCCCCTACTACTTCAATGCTCTCGTGCAAATCACCATCGGTGTTGACCTGTGACGTAAAAATATTGTCATTCTCGCCAGCAAGAGCGAAATTTACAATCGACCAGAGGATGCTAGTCTCCGTATCAGAGGGGTGAGTATATTTGCTAGGTTACTAACTATCATGACTGAGCGTTGTTTCGGCAACATCCAGCAGTAGAACGCGCATACCCGAACAAGACTATGATGATTCTCTTGTTCAACATAGCTAATGACTAGCTCCTTTCTGAATAGGCGCGTTAGATCAAAATCGAAGCATTACTGCCACAGGTAATCCAACGATTCTTCTCAAAACGTTGCTAGTCT